GCGGTGGAATGCTTTCCACTTAGTTTCCTACGTCAAATAACTGAGGGGATTGATTGCCATGATGCACCTGCATTAAAGAAAAGTTTCTCTCTTTAATTAGTCAGTCCACTTATTTGTACTTCAAGTCAGACGATTCAAGACAATTTAATGTGAAGCCAGTAGTTTTGGTAAATTTTAGCACAGAACTTCACTGGTAGTCCATCTACTAGTTGAAATTCAAACAAGCAAGAAACAGTAGTTATCCCAAATAACTCTTGCACCAAAGATTAGGTGAGTTAAAAACATGGCTTAAGGCAATCTTTGTTTGCAAGAATATGCTTCCCAAAAGAAACTTAGAAAACTGCTTCCAGAAGTAGTAGGCTTTACTTCTAAGAGATGACCATTTCTGACCTCTAAAATTCTTTCTGTTACCTAGTCCTGGAACATGCCCTTGCAAAGCTGGCATCTTCGATTAGTACATTTTAGAGCACACTGAAACAAATTCCTCTGTTGAAACCTTTAAAAGTTTTTAGATCAGGGCTGTTCAACTTCCAAGCAGCCTGGGGCTGCACGCCCTGTAGAGTGCCCCCCGTTGCTGCCCCTGCTGCTGCATTTCATGCCTGTGCAAGCACACACACACGGGCATGCACATACACAGCCCTCTGCACACAGCATGGGCACACAACCCCCCTGCTTCTGCACCACACACCCACGTGTCATGTCCTGTCCCGTCCCCCGCCCCAACTCACCCTCTGTTCCCCTTGCTGTGCTGTCCTGGGGCAGGGGCAGGAAGTGGCAGCCAGAAGACTAAGGGGGAGCTTAGAGCCCCTGATGGTTGTTGCAGCCAGAGTACTAGGGGAAAAAGCAGCTGAACAGGGCCCTATGGGCTTGCATGAAGCCCACCAGTTAGATAGTCCTGAGTTAGATGAATGTACACTACCACTTTTTCTGAGTGGTGAGTAATTATACCACTATTAAAGCTCTGAATGAGTTGGTGTCTAAGGTACTCCCCTGCCCTGCCTTCTATTAAGTGTTGTGGAAGTGCATTTGTGATATGAAGAGTTTGCATGTTTCATGGAAGCTTTTATGCTTCTGGAAGTATGTGCATTGCTCACAGACCTAATACAAGTGTTTTTTTTCTGGGTTTAGGTAAGACCATTGCAATTGGAAAAGTTCTGAAACTGGTTCCAGAGAAGGACTAAGCATTTTTCTCGATGACCCTGCACAATACTGTGAGGAAAATTGACTCTGCAAAAGCCTACTTCACACCACCTTCTTATTTTCTGCCCATTGATAAACTTTTCCCCATATTTTGCAAAGACAAATTTCACAGCAAAGGTCCACATTATGTCAGCTTTCTCATATTGAGAGCTCTGCTATGCCACTGTTGAATTTTCCCAAAAAGGGTTTTTTTTCCTCCCAAATTCTGCTTCCTTGGAAAGATTCGGCAATAGCTTTGTAAGTGATGTGGACATAATTGCCTATAATTATGAAAATCTAAAGGATTTTTAATGTTTAATTTCCCCCAACATGTTAAGACACCTTTTTCCAGGCAGATCATTTGGAGTGTGCGAGTGTGTGTGCACATGTTACAAAGACATCTACCATGTTAATAAACTATTCAATTTGAAATCCTTTTCGGTATTTGAATTGCTTTGGAATAATGTTTTTTATCCAGATGTAACGCTGTTGCATTAGCTTTTTAACTTTCCAAGTAACCTAAATGTTTGATTACTTGGACTTTTCTAAACTCCTCAGCCTCCCCCCACACACAGTTTTAAATGAGGCAATTGGGCAGTTGACCAAGTTTGTATTAAAGGAATTAGTTTTACCCCTTCCTTTTGGTCTTTAATACATTCTTAAAATTAAATACCTTCATGCAAATGTGGCATCTTCATTAGCTTTATATCTCTTTATATCTACAGCAAAGTTAGGTTGACTTGACTCGTTTACTTAGACACAGTAAGTTGGTTTTGAATGCTAGAACTACATATTGTGTCGTTATAAAGTACAGCATAATTAAAATTCTTAACCGCAGAAAATGTTAACAACCAGTAAATCATTGGAACTTGCAAAAACAAGAGAATTGTGGCAATAGTGCCTGTTAGCATTCGTAAGAGCTACACTTTGTGGGAGAACTGGGCCAGTAAAAAAGTGCTAGGAACTATAAATTACTCAGTTCACTCTAAATTAGAAGGCTGGATAATCCTTGCTGTTTTAAAGATCAGTCTGAGTTGAGAAGGGGAGAGATTATTTTAATCCCTAAGAATTTGCACATACTGAAATTTGAGAGGGGGCAGAATCAAGCACAGTCTGTAAATTTTTGCATATCAGAGCAATTTAAGCTTGTGTCGGCTAGTGAAGAGTTTTCTCGAGAAAGTAAAAACAAAACTGGTTCAAAATGAATTTTCCTCAATACAACTTGAAGGAGCTACAAAACAAAACCTTTTTAGTTATAATTTGAAAGTGAACTGGCTTACAATTACCATCCTGATTTTTAACCATTAGAATGAAAATGAATGGACTTTTTACTTCCCAAAGTATTAATAGATTTCTCCATTTTTAGATTAAAAGTTTATTCCAAGCTTCTTCAGAATAAATTAAATATTTTGAAGTTGTACAACTAAATATTGGTGAGCCCATCCCTTCCTCAGAAAGTTTACAGGTGAAAAAAAGAGATTCTGCTGCAGTTCACAGAATTCCAAAACTTAAACAGGTTTACCCTTTTTGTTTCTTTGTAACTGTGGAAATTCCCATTCATTTCACTTAAGGCTACATTGTACGGACAGAGCAAGTTGTTGTCCTTCAGTTTCATATGACTACACTTGTAGCTACCGTAATGCATGAAATTTAAATAAATTTTATTATGTCTGCAAACCTCTGGGCTTTTTTTTTTTTTTCCTGGGAAATCTGAGAGTTTTAGACAACTTTTTTTTTCCAACCAAGTGAACAAAACCAAAACGGAACAATTCCTTAGATCTTAAACCAGTGTAAAAATTAAGTTAAATTCTTTGATTTTTGTTTTTCTGAATTGACTAGAAATTTCCAAGTGTAAAAACTTTACTGTCTTGAAATGTTTTTAAATGCTCTTATTAAAATAGTACTTTGAGAAGTCAGGAATCTAACAATGAAAGACAGGGTTTTTTTTTTTCCTAATATAGTTAAACGTTTTTAAAAACATTGAAAGGCAACTAAATAATATTTGAACTGAATTTTTTTGAGCAAACTTAGAATAATAAATACCAAAACTTTAATAGCTTGATCGTGGATTTGAAAGGACTCATCACTGAAAACAGAAAATCAATGGATGGAAATTTAACAGTACATGGAAATTGCAAGGATTTCTATAACCCATTCTATCTTAAGGCTAGTGCATTTGACTACCACTTTCATAAATTAATTAAAACTGCTTTGTATGTAAAGGGACACTGAATTAAGACTGAAGTGCATTGGTGATATGTTGAATCATAGCTTGTAGATTCTGTTCAGCAATACAAGTTTTTGATTAGACTGTAAAGTGTTTGAATATTATCAGACTTTAAGCTTATTAATAGCAAAATGCAAAACAAAAAATCTAGGACAATTGGCTGCATTTTTAGGTATGAGAACTAAATGTATCTATATACCTTTATCATATTTTGAATCTCTGAATCATCCTCAGATTGCATCTCAACTTCAGTGTACTTCATTCAATTGTCATACCACATTGTTAGTCCATTTTTTACTACAGTTGAAAAGAGCTAAATTTAGGTCAATGAGGAAAAAAGAATGGTGCAGCTGCTTTGTTTTGAAATAAGTACTACTTACTAATAAATTCATCAGTGTAATAAACTTTTTAAACAATCATTTTGAATACTTATTTCCTTCTATGAAAATACATGGTGTATTATTTTGAAAACAAAAGAAATAAAGGATTTATCCATTGGAGAAAAAAAATGTAAATTAAGACAAAGAGTTGGATTGAGACCATATCTACACTAGGAGCAATTTGTCCAATATAGCTAGGCCAGCATGACACTGGCAAAACTCTCCTCTTGTAAGTGCAGCTTATCCCTGCAAAAGTGATCCATGAAGCAAACGAGCTTTACTGATAAAGCTCAGTTTTCATGGTATAATTGCAACTTACACCAGGAGCTTTTGCTAGAATAGCTATGCTGGTCCGGGCTCACACAGCTTCAGACCCTATGTTGGCAGAAGTCTGTAGTGTGGATATGGCTTTATTGTATAGCCATGACTTAACTTATCAACAAACAGATTATTATGATGATAGTGAATGATTAAGACCTTGTATGTTCTTGAAATAAAAGCCTTGATATATGTAATAATAATTAAATGCAAAAAGTCTTTTAACATGGAGTAGTAGAGTTATTATTTTGCAACAAAAAATGATCATTTATTCTTTCCTGCTACATGCAAGAAAAAAAAGCAAGGAGAGGACGCACACTGGGGCACAGGGCCTGCTTATCAGCCAACTTAGAGCTTGCCACATATGTATAGTCATGACAGGGAATCAAGAATTGCCACCCAAAACTTTGAGAGCAACAGTTCCCTTGGAATTGTAAGCTTCATTGGCACTAGCCATCCACTGGAGACAACTTTGCTTTTCTTCCCAAAAAGCACCGCCGCCCCCCCCCCTTCTTCTATGGAGATTTCTCAAGAATCTTTGCTAGCAAAATAGAAGCCACTACAGTAGGAGGCCACTACAGATTTTTCAGTGGCACACAAAGCCCAACTATTGCTTAAATATTACATTCATAATGAGAAAATGTACCCTTTATTAAAAAAAAATCTGTAGCTATATCAGGCATTTTCAGAAAATGGGGAAGAGTTCAGTAATTTGAATGGTTTATCTTGAGGTTATGTAAACACCTTGCACCAGAAATCCCCATGCTAGAGCTTGTAAGGAAAAATGGACCAACAAAATTCTAGTTCCTGCAGTTTATTTCACCCTGTGGGGAAGAATCACCAATGGTTTTCAATAAAAACCCAGGGGCTGTGGTCTAGGTTAAATATATATCAAAGAATATTTTGATCTTGGCCTAACTGCCAGAATCTCTGCCACCATGTATATTTTTCTGATTCCATGTGGCCCTTGCCTGTATATCTGTCCTTTCTAAGAAAAAAAGCAAACTTGTTCCTGATTCCTACCACCAGTTGGTTTGTCAAAGAATGTTTAGATGGATAGTGAAGGCTCAAGATACCACTTAAAAAAACCCTAAATGTCTCCATATTGTCAGGCTGTTCTAATCTAAGGAAATGCAGCACTGGTTTTTAGGGGCATCAACAACAACAACAAAACCCCCAAACCTGCCCATAGTCTACACCAGTCACAACAGGCACATTCATGTTAAATATGTATAAAACTCTTTGTATGTTACAGTAACATCTTACCATGCTTTGAAAGTATTTGTTTTTAATATTGCACTGGGTAACAGAATGTACATTTCCCTACTCTTGATGTTTCATTTGTATTTCCCAGAAGTCTGTTTTGGGAGAAGGAGAGAGAATGAAGTCTTATAATTTAACAGAAAATATTCCTGAATGAAGATTTTTCTAGTCTTCCCAAGTACAAGTCCCTTGGATATTGTTCACTGTTTCTAATTTATACAAGTTTCTGCATAATCTTTGCTTGTGTGGGTTAGGCAAGTTACACACCCAGTCTTGATGGCATATAGATTTTGGGGATCTGTGAAACAACATGAAGGACCAGAGACTTCAAAAAATTGGAATCCATAAGTACCATGAAGTAAATAGTCTTATTTTTAATCTTAGATGTATCTGAATTGGTAAAATTCAGGGCTGCCTACATGTAACAGGAAACTTCAGTATTTCTTTTATAATAATTTTAATGAAAAATAAACTTAAAAAATAGGGATGTCTGGAAAACATCCGTTTAGGTTACTAAACTCAGCTGTTCTGTCATTTCAGACATCAGCATATTAATGGGTGTGGGTTGTAGCTGGGTCAATACAGATAGAAAACTTCCAGATGTGTGTATGGTGAAGATTACTCTAGCCCTTGATGCCGGTTTATCAGTTAAGTGCTGCTGCGGTTATGGATTGTTTGATATGATTGTTTGATACGACAAATGTATTTGTTAGTTTTGTGAACTTTATAAATTAAACATGTTTACTTACAGTGTATGCACTTAATAGTCTAACAACTTTTGACCTCTAACCTGGGTCTTGCTCAAATCCTATCCCAATTAACCATATTCCACTTTAAATAAATATGGCTGCTGTGTCAAGTTCAAAACTTGTATAACAATACACTGGCATGAGACCGAAAACTAGAGTTAGGGAGCCTGACAGCACTCTCTCCTCCTCCTCTGTTGATGAAAGCAATGCTATGCTAACAGATGAGAAACGTTTTGGACATAAATTACTTAAGTGAAGCTTCTGGCTTACAATAATATGAAGCGATTTATTTTCAGAGGCTTTTTACGTACTCTACTCCCATTCTCGGTTTGCAGATGTTGCTGTGGGTTTCATTATTATAAGTGACAGACCGCTGCATTATTCACGAATCCCTGCTCGCCCTCCATCTGTTTATTTCCAGGCGTATGAAAGACCCCCCCGCCCCCGGCCAGGACAAGCCCTGTCATCTCACCGGTGCAGGAGGGAGTTCCCCACCCAGCCGGTTGGCTCCAAGAGCCCCCCGCCCCCCCCGCCCGTCCAACGCTTTTATTTCGTTTTGTGACGGAACTCGGATTGGAAACGCGAGTTTCATCCCTCGCACGTGACACCTCCTCCCAGCAAATCCCACCACGCCAGCTAGGTTCACTGCCTGCTCCGGCCAGCGCCACCACCGGACTCCAGTCCTGAGCAGCTCCACGGGGAGCGCCAGGAGCAAGGCCGGTTCCTGCCCGACCCCACTTCCGCTCCTGTTGCCCCGCGACTGGCCGCTCTGACTCGGAGCCGCAGAGCCACGTGCTCAGCTCCGACACGCGCCCTTCGGGCCTGGGAAAGCCCCGAGCAGCTTCGCTTCGCCTCGCCTCGCCCGGGCGGGGGAACCGGCCGCGGCCCCGTCTTCCCTCTTGCTGCAGCCCGCCCTACTCGGCGGCCGCGGGGGACGGGAGAGGGCAGCGGACAGCACAGGCTGCCTCAGCCCCGGCCCGGAAGTGAACGTGAGAGGAAGTCCTGTCCTCGGCCGCCTCGACTCGAGCTGCCCCCGGTGCTTGTGCTCCTGCAGGTGCGAAAGGCCGTCCAGGCTCTGCTCGCCTACGTCGCGGCCCGGGCCAGCGCGGAGAAGCCGCTCCTGGGCGGGAGCGAGAACCTCTACTTGATGGTGACGGTGTGGAAGATCCCCCCGCGCGAGCGCTCGTTGTTCATGTGAGGATTCGGCCCGCCGCGCTGTCTTCTCGCGCGCTTGGGGCTCCTTCGCCTGGAGGGACCCGAGCTCATTGTGGGGCCTGTCGGGGGCCGCATCCGTCTCTCTCCCTCCAGACCCTGGCGGAAGCCACACTTTCCCCGGGGCCCTGGGGTACCCCACTGCTCACATCTTGCCAGGTTGAGTACAACCTGTCCACCACTACTCTGGGTGCGCCCCATCAGCCAATTTTTTACCCATCCAGCTGTGTAGTCATCAATGCCGCAGTCACTTAATTTATTGATGAGGATGGGGTGAGACAGTGTCAAAGGCCTTCTTAAAGTCCAGAAAGACTATGTCCACGGTGACACCATCATCCAAGGATTTAGTTACTTGGTCATAAAAGGCAATCAGGTTGGTCAGGCAGGACCTGCCCGTGATGAACCCATGCTGATTGCCCCTGAGCATGATCTCCCCTGCAGGCCCCCCACAGATGTGCTCCTTGATGATTCTCTCCAAGATCTTCCTGAGCACTGAGGGGAGGCTTGCAGGCCTATAGTTACTTGGGTCCTCCTTCCTCCCTTTCTTGAAAATTGGGACCATATTAGCCAGTTTCCAATCCCCCGGCACCTGGCCAGATGACCATGCCTGGGCGCCACTGGCAGGTTCTGTGTCCGAACTGAACCTGCCTGCAGCATCCACCCGTGATGCTGACACCCAACCGCTGTAGTGGGCACCCTGTCCAGGTGCGTAGCTGATGTCTGATACTGCTGGGCAGAAGCAGTCCCCCCTGCCCGCCCAGCACCACACAGCAGCTGGAGCCGCCAGGCACCCACAGGCCAGATCCAGTGAGTTGGAGGCCATCCACCCAAGGGCCAGATCAAATTGTTGGGCTGGATTCAGCCCACAGGCCATGTTTTGCCCACCCCCTGCACTAGCTCCAGGGCTAGTGTTTCTCATCTGCTCTGCCATACCGTGGCACTTTGTGACAGTGGCCTACATGATCTCTGTTATTCTCCCTCACTCCACTATCAAAATAAAACCATATTTTATCGGTTTCAACAATTTTTAGTAGTCTCCCACGTCTGTGGTGCTGCCCAAGCATTCTTGGGGACGTCTGCTATGTGAATGGGCATCTCTTTTGCCCTTTTCACTTAGTCAGTTGGATCAGCGAGGTAAATGAAACAAGATTTACTATTAACAGAGTCTATGCATGTCCTGTGTGCCTGTCTTGTTGGCTTTTGTGCTGTTTGGTACCTATTTTTCCCAGTTCAAGAAATAAAGGCTCAGTGTGTTTATTAATCAGCCCCATTGCCAATCACTGCAAGGTTTCCTTATTCTGAGCTACACTAATACTGCACAACAAGTTAGAGCCCCAACCTGTTTAAAGCTCTGAACCTACAAAGACTTGCATGTGTTTAGATTTTTATGAACTGGTAGCAGACCTACGGATCTCATTGCAGATACTTAGTACTTTTTGCGTTTTATATAGAGTTGTGGACCAAGGTCTTTAGCACTTACGCTCATTGGTACAGTAATTTTAAAATGCTTACTAGGTCTGGCTTTGTGTAAAGAGAAAGTCTGTCTGACTTAGCAAATTGCCTCCCATCTCGTCACTTTGTTATAGACCACTGCCTCATGTTATTCGACCAGAAACATCTGAAATTTGCCTGTTTACAAAGGATGAGCCTGAATTATCTGCGGAACAGACTGAAAACTTGTACAAGAAACTCTTAAAACAGAATGGGGTCACAAATATCAGCCAGGTAGGGACAATGAGGGATTCTGATATATCATTTGTTTGTAATAATACAGGAACATTTTTAGAAACTTTTTCAGCTACTTCTAGTCTAATTTCACTTTTAGCTCCTGATGACCAAAACAACAAGTTTGTAATTAAAAAAAAAAAAAAAATAATAATGTTTAACAATCAGATTTGTTTGACATGAATAAAGCAAAAACAGTTCACTCCACTGTAGCTGTGCAAGCTACATAGTTTTATGCTACTGAGTAAAAAAGGGAAAATAAGAGAAAAGTAAGATCTCATTTTTAGAAA